GATAAAGAAAAAGTACTGACTGAAATAGTAGACAAAAACAGTGCAATAGGCCAAAGAACCCTTTTTTCCAAGCTATTTAATGTCTCTGAAGGCTTACGTAAGGCATTACTAATGATCTGCACCATTGTATCCTTCTCTCCGAAATGGGAGTTGAGAAGGAAAATATCAAAACTTTCGCAAAGCTTTCGTAATACTCCGAAAAAAGGTTTTGCCTAGTATGAGTCATAATAATAATAATAATCACTAGGGAATATATAAACTTCTAGCTTACGCAACATTAAGGATATTGTTATTTAATTAATGATTCGTTAATGATATACGGATAGATTAGGTAAAGAAAATGGTTCTTTTTTTAAACTCACAGATTAAAAAAAAAATAATTATTGAATGAAGCTTAAAGAAAAATTTTTCCCAAACTTTTACACGTGAGGAATTTACCGAAGAGATAAGCTTTACTTAGTTTTCTCCTTTTCATTTTGTAATTTTTTATATGAGTTTTTCTTTACGTGAAATGAAAGGGGTATTTTCTCGTTTATTAGAATTTTTGATGTATAGTCATAACAAACGGGAAAAACATTCTCAATATGTCTGAAAAGAATTTTTCTGAAAAATATTCAGTCCAATAGGAATTTTTTAAAAATGGTTTTTTTTTTTTTTTTTTTTTTTTGAAACACTTGAAATGGAAAGCGAAAGTAGACTAAGGAATTGTTAGTCATGTATAATTTTCAAACTGAATCAGGTCTAGATGGAAAATAAAAGTTCATGAATAACTAAAACCTTGTTAAGTATGCAAAAACAAAGCAAAGCAAACTGGAAAAATATTTAGCAAAATAATGTAATTAAATTACTTGAGTTTACATGTGGGATTGAAAAAAATGATTAGAGCTGTCTTACTCCTTTGTACGGTTTCACAGGCTCCTTAGTATTTGTATGCTTACTTAGTTATAGCACATTTAAAAGCAGCCTGACATTAAATTATAATTATTATCGTTTATCTTATATCTATCTATAAAGCTGAAACGAAAAAATCCTCTAGAGAAGTAATTTATCTGCAAAAGCTATGCAACTGAAGAAGTTTCTTTCTACAAACAGTGAATTCAAGCATTAGAGTCATATATAGTATAATAAACATACACATACACTAGTGGAAAAATTACCTTAAAATTTACCGGAGTTTAGAAATACACGCAAATTATTGCATGAGTATTTAAAATTATTATATTATATACCACAACACTTGTGTCATTTGTATTTAAGCACATAAACAGCGTGATGGGTTTACTGAAGAGCGGATGGGTTTACTGAAGAGCGGATGGTTTCATATATGAAAGAGAATCAACGTATTTTTAACATCTTAAAAATACGTTGAGAGCTCTTCTACGCTTATCTACGCTTTTCTACGCGAATACGCTTATCTTTTATCTTAAATAAAGATATTTGTTAAAGACAGTTAGTCCTGAGTTTAAATATGTCTTGAATTTTTACCCCGAAGGTGAGCTAGCCCAAAAAGGCTATTATTAGTGCCGAAACCTTATTTTGAGTAGAATCAGTGTAAAAGTCTCAATCACTTTCCAATATGCTGCCATCAAATATTATCGCCCTGTATTATATTTAAAGAAATTAAATGCTGAAGAATCTGCATTAATATACGCATGTTTTTCCCATTGTGAAGAAACGACGTTACCTAGAGCCATCAAATTTTGAATTACGTAATCCTCTACCCAAACATGGTCACCTGGAAGCGTGAATTTTGAATTTGTTTTATTATCTATTTCATATTTTTGTTAAACTTTAACGAAATTTTGATTAACAAACTCAAAGATTTCCAAATGAGCAATGACAAAACTGTTTAAAAAAAGACAATATTTTTATCTCTAGCGCTTGAGACTGATCGTAAATTCTAAAGATATGCTGTTTTTAAATATTTTGTAATATTGCTGTTGAATTGAATTTTTTGTGTTTTAGGTGAGAAGAATATGATATTTAATAAATAAAGTTAACACGTAAAACGTTAAAAACCGCCCCTTTGGGCGTAATGTAAAATCTGAAAGCTTTGAGATTTTTAAATTTAATTTTAAAAAGCACTGATTAAATTAAGCTACAAGTTTGCATTAATAATTACTAAAAATACTCTTTGTTTGGAATTGTCCATATGCGCGAGATGTTTTGAAATTTTTCGTTTCAGCCGAGGCTTTCAGTTAAGCGTAATAAAATTTGAAATAATATGGTTGAAACTAAATGTAACATAATATAGACATTAGTTATAGTAGTTTCATATGTCAACATAAAGTTTAAATGATAAATGAATTAAAGACGTTTTTCTTCCTAGAGACGTACCAGTAAATACTTATATATTCTGTTTTCCTCAAGGGTGTATTCGCCTTCGCTGCTTCCGAAAATTCGATTACATTTATTTTCCCTATTACTAATACATTACAGAAATACATAAAATTTTCAAAACTCATGAATATAGAATTAATGAAGGTATACAGCAAGCCAAATAAGATTTTAAACACGTTTTCGTGAAACTTATATTTTGGAATTGTTGATTGTATCTCGTAAGCTCTTGGAATGGTGTTTTTCAATTTCAAACCCATTAGATTTGCCATTCGTTGTCACAATTGCGGTAGAAAAAAATCTCAGTAATTATTAAATTATTGAACAGAAAAATATTGGAAAATTAATTTAAAATACAGTATTTTTGCTCTTCGGGCACATTTTTTTTCAAGGCTTTTACATTCTAATTTGGGCGATAACAACAATATTTCTCATAAACGAAGACTTAATGTTTGCTTCAGATTTCCATGGCCCTTTAATATTTTTCAACGTAATTTTTGGCAGACCTCAGTCTGAAAACTAATAGAATGTTTTAGTTTTAAAAGTCGAGAACTTCAAGTAAAATAGTGATAAATACATTATAAAAGTGTATATTATAAAAATATAGTGTACGTTATAAAAATACATATAAAATCATTTTAAGTTATACAATTTCATTTAAATACACTAAAAATTTTAAAACGTATACCTGTTACATCGTTCTTGTTCGTAGACTGAAATGTATCCATGCCTTGCTAACAATAATAGATTTTAAACCAAAATTTTCGAGAAAAATTTAGTTAAACTGAATGTAATCATTCAGTTTAACTAAATGTCTTGAAAACATGTATTCTGAGAAAAGAGTCCTTTCTTAAAATAAAAGTAAATTCTAAATTTAATAAATTATACATCATTTAAAGATAATTAGTTACATATAGAATTCATCTCTTATTCAGTAAAACTGCTTTTTCAATCTATGGCAATTCTCTCTGATATTCGAAGTTTATCGATAGAAGAATGACAGCTATTAGATTTGAAGGTTTTGACGGTGAAAACTGACGCTGCAATTTTGAATTACTGCTCTGTTATTTTAAATAATGTAATTTACAAATAATAGAATTAGACATGCTAAAATTATTATAATGTCAAATGAAGGACGATCTTTCTACCAAATATCTACAAAATCTGACATTCATATTTCGACAGTTATTAGGTTGTCCGGAAAATAATGCAGGTTTTTAACATATACCTTTAAAGTATCATAACTCAGAAACAATTTTATTAATCAAAGTAATCACCAGCCGAATCAATGTATTTTTGCCAACGACATATAAGTTTATTTATATCGGTAGAATAAAATTCTGGAATTCTGGACGCGATAAATATGTCAAAGGCGTTTTTGGCCTCATCTTGGTTTCTGAAGCATTTTTTCTGCAGAATGTTATCCAGATGTTTGAAAAAGTGGTAATCGGTCGGCGAGAGGTCAGGTGAATATGGGGGAAGAGGAAGAGTCTTGTATCCCAATTCGTTAAATTTTCTGTAGAGTCAAGTTGCACGACGTGCGGCTGAGCATTGTCGTGGAGAAGAACAAGCCCCTTTCTGCCGTAATCGTTTCGCCCAGATTTAGGAAGCTATGGTGGATGAAACCGGCCGCAGACCACCAAACAGTCACCATAATTTTCTTCTGGTGCAAATTTGGCTTTGGAAAATGTTGTGGTGTCTGACCGCAGTCCAACTACTAAGCCGAATGTTGCTGGCTGTTATAGAGAATCCACGTCTCATCGCACGTAAGAATTCGATGAAGAAAAGGTTTTTTTTGTCGTGGAGAAGAAGAGCAGATGACACTTCAAAACGGCGATTTTTTTTTATTTTCGCTTAATTGGTGAGGCACCTACTTATCGAGCTTCTTTGACTTTCCTATACGCTTCAAGTGATCAGAAATAGTTGTTTTGCTTACGCCACAAGCTCTCGAACAGCTGCGCACGGGTCTGTTTCATTTTCTGTCTTCAAGTCTTCAAATCGTCAAGACATCGTCAAGACATCAAGTCCCTAACTTGCACTCAGTAAATTTGCCGAAAATCCCGGTTTGACATCTAGTAAATATTTTTTTTAATAATTTTAAAACAAAATGGTTATTATAGAAAAATATAGAGCGAAAATAGAGCTTCAAAATGATATATAAACCAATATAATTCAAAATAGTTTTGTTACTAAAAATGTACAGGAAAGATAAGGAATTGCAAAAATCTGCATTATTTTCCGGACAAACCGATAATAGATGCAAAAATAACTTCAATTTAGTTGGAAATTTTGAAGATCGGCACGGAAACGAAAAGCTGAGAAAAGGTATGACATGAAATGATTCAAATCTTATTCACTTAGTTTTAAAAGACTGTGAAAAATTGAAGAAAAAGTGGTAGATAAAGCTGTTCAGTTAATGAGTCCAGCTGGACTATAAACTGAGGCTGAATGAAAAGGCCTTAAAAGCCCACATATGTGCGAAGAATTCATACTGAGGCTTAAGCGACTATATTGGGCACGTGGTGATCTATTCGTCTCTTTAGATAAAATCCCCAAAAACCAATTTAGAGATTCTAGACAAGCGTCTCTACCTAAACCAACCACTGAATCTACATCTGAACAATCATTAATAAAATGAAAATTCGAAATAATTAAAAACTTACCTGAAACCTGGCCATAGTGTTATAAATATAGATATGAGCAAAATTGTGCTCCTAAATGTATAACTTGAAGCTCCGTCGATTTCTAGAAAATAAATGAATATTTTTAGCAATTTTAATTATATGGTTATAAATCAGTTCATTATAGAGAACAGTAATGAGAAAATGGGTATAATTTATCGAAAAGGGCTCAAAAGAGCACAAAAGATGAGAATGAAGTTATTTTTTTCTGACTTATTCCAACATTCAGTGATTATGCAGGATGAGCGCAACACAGTAACTTCCATTAACTAGTCTAGGCCAGTGTCAAGGCTGAGTTAGTAAATGCCAGACAGTCGAAAAGCTGAAATTTTGGTCTTTTTGGCAGTCTGAAACTTAATCAATTTTGACGAATTTTTTTTTGAGAGAACTATAACAAACTGAAGCTGCCCATACAATATGCATGGCATTTAGGGCAAATTTCAGAAACTATGTCCTCTTTTTACTCGCATAGAGTCATCCTTTTGACAAATAGGATACTTTTTGTACAAAAGGATATTTAAAAGCAGGATGAATAATACTTATTAGTTTGAATACAGGTTTGAAACAGATAAATTCACGTTTCAAAATTATGTTCTTCAAAACTTTATATATTGCTGCCACAATTCTGATAATTCGTTGTGGACACTTAAAAGATGTGTCGCAGTTCATTTTAAAACTACGATGGCTTTTAACATTAGCGTATCCATAATGTATTCACCAGTAAAGATATGTTTTAAATGATACAGAATAAGAGGTAAGGTAAAAACTGACTAAATTTGGTTTTAACATTTCAAAGAATTTTACATTAATACACTTAAACTGATTATCATTATTGAAACGATCAAGAATACCTACAGAAAACTAATTACGAACGGCTAAATCACTGGATTTGATTTGTTGACAAATCTGCAATTTATACGCAGTCAATTTCAAGCGTTCATGAACAAATTTATGAACAGTCGACCTGAGAATTTCTGTTTGCAGGCTGGCATAGCGAATGGATTTACTAGGACTGCGCACTAACGTATCTCGAATGGTGGAAACATTTTAATCATTGATGTTTGGCCTACCTGCATCTCCTTTATGCAAAACATGTCCGGTATTCGGAAACGTTTTAACCATCTTTTAATTGATTGTTCCATTAATGGAGGTTTATTAAATTCATGTCCGAACGGCCTCTGAAGTGTTTTCGGAGATTTTGGTTCCCATAACTAGAAAACGCCCATTGCTTTTTCACGGCACGGCGCTATTTTGTCTGTAACCAAATAATTTCCTTGTTGCCATTCACAAAAATCAGAAGAAATAAAATTATTTGAAGTAAAGTTTATATCGATAGGAATTATTTCCGGTTTCTTTGTAAAATTATGTTTCAATTAAATTTTGTTATCCGGTGGTTAAACTATGAATACCCTGCACATAAGATTGATAACATTGGATACCATAAGAAGTTGCCATTCTTTACCTTAGCAGTTCGTCATTGTATCTAGATGTTTAAAGAGAATCCTAAATTCCAAACTTTCTTGATCGTTCATATTCAAGATATAGAATAGAATCTGAATCACATATTTTGTTAATATACAAAAATGTTTTATTGTGTATTTTCTCAATAGGATGGGAGAATTATAAAACTTAACTAGATAAGGAATCAAGAATGCAAACTTAATGAATTCCGAATTTGAATAGAACTGTCTGGTAATAAAGTTATTGAAGAAATTAATACTTGAATATTTCATATCGATTTGCTATATAAATTTGGATTTGTATATTGTTTTTTCCCATGAATATTGTTGCAGGTTTAGTTAATTATTAATTAGTGTTTTTAGTTTATTTTTGAAAGGTTTTAAAAGATTAAACAATTTTTTCAAGAATTTCTTTGAATTAACTTATTTAATTTTGAAATTTTTTAAAATTTTGTCAAAGATTTTTGAGAGTTTTTTTTTTAAATTTTAGTTAATTTTTAATTAATTTTCATTCATTAATTTTTTAAAAATATTATGTCGTGTTTTTATTATAAAAGCTGATGCATATCAAAGCAACTGTGTGTAATGATTTTACTTTTAATGACAGTAATCACTATTAGTGAGGATTAATAATGATAAATGAATTAATAATACACAAATGCGCGCTCTCCCAATAAACATAGAGAAGAAAAATATTACAGTACTTTTTACGATAAATATAAACCTTGCAAACAATATATGTCTCTTGGAACAAGAATGAGATATAGCAAGACATCAAAAATGGCTTCCATTGCATAAATCTCACATAATCATAAATCTTTTAATAATTCATATTATACATAAAAAAGATCATAGACAATACATCTGCAAGACAGTTACTTGCAAGATGCAGATTTTTATGTTAATTAATCACAACATTACTACTTAACTAATTCGCATCCTGGTGAAGTTGCTCGAAAGAGCAAACACGCACGGCGCTATCGAACGGTTTCAGTAAGAACTGATAGCGGGAAAACAACAACGATGACGTGCACCTAAAATGTGTGTCCTGAGCATATTGTTCTAATATATGCGCTTTGTTCGTGGACCCCGTGTGTTGGGTTTTCGAAATCGTATGTCAACAGTGCCTTCCTCTTGTTTTGAAGATCTGAGCAGTATAGATTTCTATAAATTACACACGTGCAAACAAACAAACGAATACTTTGCTTTATATATGTATCGATAGATAGATGATTTTAATGAATCGAGCTAGTGTAATTTCACAAGTCCAGCTAGCAATTAATAATTTCTGAAAAAATCTGCGTTTATTACTTTTAAATGACTTAGTTTTTTAATTACTAACAGAAAAAAATTGGAAAGAAAAATTAAATATTTTACATTTTTCTGAACCAGAACACACTGCCGCTTGGAAGATAAAAATATTTTCAGTTCTGGAAATGGCAACACATTTCTCTCAAACCGCCGAGTTTGTTTATTCAGTTCGAAACACAAATAAATGTACTGCGTTTTCACGAGTGACAACTCATTTCATTTACATAACCAAATCTTCTGATTAAATTTGAAAATAAATAGCTCACGTTTTGCAGAATGGCAACACAAAGCTTTTAATTCAGAGAGTTTAAAATCAACCTAAAATATGTGTACATAAAGAACGTGGACACCTTAGGGCGGTTTTAGAGGAATCTTATGCAGAGTGACTTTCCACTTGTTTTGAAGTTCAAGTGTGCCAAATTTCGTTAAGATTGGAACAAAACTGTGGATTTGTATGAAAGACAAACACACATATACTTTAATAAAGATTTTCTGCTGTTAATTACGATTTAAACAAATCCTTTAAATGATTTCAATTTTTGATTTTAATCTTTACATATTAAAATTTAATACTGCATAATACTTCAAAAATATTATGTATGATGCATTGTTTTATCTATTCTAGAAAATCCTTTTTTCAGCTAATCATGCTTTCATTTATACATCGACATTCTTAATGTCTTATTCTTGATTTCTTTTATCATTTTCTTTTTCTGTTTGTTTCAATTTCCCTGGTGGTTTTAGAATTCAGTATCTTTATAATTTACGTTGAAATAGAGAAAATGTTAATTCTTTAAAAAGAATTAATTTTTCTTCATTCAATATTTTAAAACTTAGCTTTGCAGAACGTCCTTGCTTCTGTACTGGATATTAAGCAATTTTTTTTTAAGAGTAAATAATATTTTTCTCTCTAATTCCTGCTCTTTTATCTATTTTGTTTTACTGCTGTATACTTTATTTTGTTAACTTACAATAAAGAAATGGCTAAATATTTGATGAAGGAATAAGTAGATTTCTACAGAATATTTAAAAATTAAAAAGTAATTACTTTTTCAGAAAATTTTAATGTTTGCGTATATAAAAGTTTAAGCATTTGCAGATATAAAAGATATTCTCTCAAAAGTCACATTTTTTGAAATACAACATTTAAAGCTAAGCACATTGCACAGAATATTTCAGGCTATAAAAGCATCCTTAATGAGCCCAAACCAGACATTCTCCCTAAAAGATAAACGCGTTTTAAGCTTCAGATTCTTTATATTTTCCAAGCCATTCTCTGATTTTTATATTTTTTAATGTAAGACTTGTAATTTAAAAATAAAAGTATAATTACGCGAGCGTGTGCTATGTATGCTTTCCACATTTTGTATGGTAGTAAAGCACAAATCGTAATTTATGCTATAAAAACTTAACAAAAATTCAATTACCTTAAACTCCAAATATTTGCCCATTAAATTGCACATTTTGGGTATCTAGGTAACATAAAATTGCTGTAAATATGAATCTTTTGAAAATTTTCATATACGTAAGAATGAAAATAAATATATTGCAATTAAAACGTTTTAAGAATCTATTTATTTACATAATGCTTTCTGGCCTGCAGTTTTCAATCAATGTGTAAATTGTAAACATTAATATAACAAAGACGTTATGCGTATTGGTATACTGAACTTTGTTTACTTTGAGTCACTCATCTGAACTTGTTCAAATAAATAAATTAGTTGAAATAAAAATAGCTTAATATTTAAGCAAATCTCTTAATTTGTTTGAAACACGCACTGGTTATACTTTATAAAAATAAAAAAAAATCTCAAACCTTTCATATATTCGGATGGACAGAGATCGTTATTAATTCAGATATTTGGAGGTCTATTGTATACATTAATTTCTGGATCATGTGAATTACTAATAGTTCTTACATAATCATTCAAAATTATGATGAAAAGTATAACAGACCTTGCAGAACAATAAAGCCTTCCCTATTGCAAATAATTTCTCTCTAAAATATTATTTTCGAGTAAAATATTCTCTAAATTTTTTCCTATTTCGTTTAAAAACTATCATTGAACTGAGCTGAGATTCAATGCATAAGTAGCATACGATAGTAATATTCTGAAAATTGTGTTGGTATATATATTTTAAATAATAAATTAAAGTAAGATGTATGTTAGATATGAATTTGCTTTTGTACAAGTAATCGGAAAAGTTTTTGACATTCGTGATAGTCAAAAATAGAAGCATGACAACGCAAGGTAGTTGGTGCTATGTGCCGATGTAATCTTCCTCAGCATCC